CCCGCCTTCCCCGCGGCATCCTTCGCGCTGCCCGGTGTCTCCTGTGCTGCAGGTGGGCCCCGCCGCCCCCCGTCACCCTCCAGGAGCAGGTGAGCCACTGACTAACGCACATTGTGCTCTCGGCGACTCCACTGTGCGTGTGACAGCGGCTAACCTGCTCCTCGGACAGCGCTGTGCGGCCGCCTCGCCTCCTCGGACCCGCGCCTCGACGCCACGACGCCTCTGTCCCCTCCCCGACACCCAGGTGAGGGGCTCCGGCCTGCAAAGGAGTTGCGCCCCCCCGCCCCCGATCCAACGCCACTGTCCTGCTTCCCATCCGGCCCCCCGACCCCCGGTCGGTAGCCCCCTTGCAATTAGCCGCGCTGCACGGCGGAGCACGACAGGATTTAACGCCTCTTGCAGCCGGGCTCGGTGTGTCCGGTGGGAGCAGAAACGAGGGGAGCGGGCCGTGGCGGTGCAGGGGTGCAAAGAGTGGGTGGTAAAGTTGCAGAGGAGGGATGGCGTGTCCCCCTCGCTCCTCCCCTGCTCTTCTCCAAAGTAAGTGCGTGCTAGCGGACTCTGTACCAAGTTAGAGAGACGCTCCATCCCAGCCGGTGACGTCTTGATACCCAGTCAGTGACTAACTGAACTGCTATTGCCAAGGGTGTGTTAATAGAAGAAACCATGCCTGGTATTGCCCTGGATGAGTCACCTTTAAAGAGAGACTCTTTAGTCCGTTTAAAGAAAAAGCAGAAACAAGCCTCGGTTTCCTTTTTTGTTGCTGTTTTGTTTCCCATCCCACCCCTCACCTTTGCTCGCCGCTTTCTGCTTCTTGTGCCAGAGCTGTGTTGGCCCCCCCAGCCTTGGCCGGGCACTGGCAGGGCTGCCTCGCGTGGCTGTGCCGTGATGTCACGCAGGGCACTCTGACTTCATGGCCCCGAGGAGCAGGAAGGCGAGCTGGGCAGGGACTCCTCCAGCCGCCCAGGGTGGCTGTCATTAGAAACGGAGGAAGTGACAAAGTAGATTGCTTCTCCTGCAGTGTCCTCTCTTGCGATTTTTGGGCCGGTGAAAGAAGCTGGGTAGTTGAAAAATGTCTTTTTTTTTTGAAGTGCAGCGTGGCTTTATCAGCAGCTCAAGCTCATGATAACCAGCTGGGAATCACTGCAGCCTGCTGAGGTTTCCTCAAAGGGCTCAGATATGCTCCCTCTTGCTTGGGCTGCTCACGTGTAGCCCTGCACTGTTGTAAAGGCTCGATCTGAAGGAATTGGCAGTTCTCTGGTCAGTAAGTAGTTAATTGCATGGAAGGCACAGCAATGTCCTCTGCACAGATAAAGTTTCTCACGGATAAATTTTGCCTGTCCCCATCTCTCCTGCCTCTGCTCATTTGCCATTTCTCCCTCTGGGGTCTGGAGGAGCATCTGCTCTTTCACAAAAAAAATGAGCTCACTGTGTGCCCCGCGCAGATTGGGTGAGTCTAGGGTGCTCAAACGTGTTGGAAAGAGAGGTAAACTGCCTGAATTTACCAAAGTTGCTTTCATGCTTGTTCAGAAACCAAATGGGCATTTTTTGATGGGGCGGTGGGTGAACAAGTTTGCAGCTTTCTCAGCCCCAGAAGGCTTTTTTCCTCCCTGCGTGCACCTACATGCACGGTGGGAAGATGCACCTACAGCATCTTCCCACTGCTGGTCCTGAGCAGGCGAGAGCATGGTGAAGCTGCTGGGAGAGCAGGGAGAGGAGGAAACCTGGTGCAAAATACACCTGTGTATGAGCATGTCTGCGAGCTGGAACTGAAGCCCCGCAGTCTCTTACAGCACCATTTCATAGGTTACTGTGCATGTAACAAACCCACACCTGAAAACGAAGACACTCTGTTTCTCTTTGAAGAAATAGCCTTGTGTTTGGGACTGTGCTGCCTGATGACTAACCCCTGGAGATGCCACTAGCAGAAGCAGCTCTGCGGGTCGCCTGGCAAGACTTGTCTCAGTTCCCATGAGCAGGACCGTGGTATGAATGCTTCCGACTTCCTGCTACCTATGGAACCATCCTGCTCAGCTTCAGTAAGCAAAGGCAAGGGGTTGAAGTGAAGTTTGTTTGGTTTAGGTTTTTTTTTTGTGTCTCTCTCCAGTAAGGTGGGGGGGGCATACAGCTCAATTCCTGTTTTTAACATTCTTGTGGCATGATTCAAAACTAACCTGCTGTGCTGTCACCTGAAGTCTTCAATAAATAGTGCAAAACCAGTGTTTGGGTGCTTATTACTGTAATGCAGGATGCCAGACTGCAGCTGAAGAGGAAGGCTGTGCCTTCTCAGTGACATGTTTGGTGTGCCCTGCATGCCCCATGCCTCCCATCTCTTATTTTGCCTCTCTTGCTGGTGAAGGTGGCCTGAAAAGGAGAGCGGAAGGGTACAACCTGGTTGGCCCTCAAGTGGAAACCCCAGCATCCGTGCGTTCACCCCTGCCCTAGCCCAAGAGCCCCAGAATGCTCCTGAGCAATGAGAAAATACACCAGGGCTAAGATGCTACTTAATTTCATGTTTTTCAGTAGCTAAATACTGATATTTAACCTGTTGACAAGAGTGGTTGGGTGCTGAAAGCTCTTGCTCAGAAGTGATGCTCCAAGACTTTTGGGGTGAGGCAGGGGTGTTCCTTACAGGAGGCAAAGATGCTGAATGTCAGGCCTGTTAAGCTGAAGGGACTCTTTGTGGTCCTCAAAGATTTTGTTGGCCTGTTTCAGCGCTTCGCAGAGGGAAGCGAGCAGGCCTAACGCTTCAAGCACCGTGCTAGGAAGCGCCTGTCATGCTCGGCCTATAATGTGTCCCAGTGGCAGGTCCTACGTGGTGAGCCTTACCCAAGGAGCAAGCTGGCCTGCGAGGAATAGGAGTACATAAATTGTTTAAGAGGAAGTCAGTTAGCTAAATGCAAGCAGGGACTTATATAATACATCCTAAAAAAAAAAAAAAAAAAGATTTCTGCTGGCAGGAGGTTCCGTTGGGAGAGAAACTTGCTCATCCATAAACGAGAAAATTTCCCAGCCTCCTCTAGTGCTTGATGATTTTTTTTTTTTTTTATTTTTCAGGGCAAGGTAGAATGCACTCAGTCTTTACCCTGATACAGAGAAAGGAAAACCATCATAGGGAGAGCAGACAACACTCCCTCCATGGACATAAATGCCAGTTCAAATAGTTTCTCTTCTCCATCTGCAGTGACCTACCCTTGCAGGAGCTGTGCGCCCAGGAGCAAGCAGCAGAGCATCTGTACACCACTCGGGGAGCAAAACCAACAGGCATTTTCTCCTCCAGTCATTCACACCTTTCCTTATGTAATTGGTGCTGAAGCATGTGCTTTAAAAGCTGTTTGCCAAATCCAGGGGCTGGGAGGCAGCACAAATGCTTCTAGTGCTCTGGATGAAATTTAGGGGGGAAAACAACCCCCAACCAAACACTGAGGAACTCGTACAAATCCACGGCTGTGAACTGAGGATGTCTCAAGTGTCTGCAGCTGTGCTGCCCTTGAGAAACTGTACTGGCCCGGGGCTCTGCTGGAGCCCTGACCACCATCTGTGGAGGATGCCTGGCCTAACGAGCCAATGCAGTCCAGCATAGATGGGTGAGGAGCTGGGAGCCATTTTTTCTTATGCAATATTAGAAAAAAAGAAATATAAAAATTAGGTAGTGCAAAGAGGAGCAGAGCCCCAGGGAGGCTGGAGGTGGCTGAATGACTCTCTTGAATGGTGCCTTGTGCTGACAGAGCCTGGAGTTAGCTTGCAGATTTATTTTACTTTAAAAAAAATATATATACATACATATAAAATGATGCTGCTGGGACTGTTTGCCAGTGGAAAACAGGTATATCCTCTGCTTTGTGATTTTTGGGTGGCATTGGAGCTGCCAGTAAGAAGCATTGGAGGAGGGAGAAGCCCTGAAGCTGGTAACCACCTACGGGAGGGGAGGAGGAAGCTGCCCCACAGCACCAGAGGGACGTGGGGACACGACTCCCCGCTCACCCAGGCGCAGCATCCTCGAGCCACCCGTACGCTGGGATCCCTGCCTTGCCCGCCAGCCAGTTGTTCCCTCTCCAGTACGCGCCGTACGCTGGGCTTCTGGTTTGTTTTTTAAGGGGAAAAAACAATAATTTATTTGCTTTGTTTTAATCTCATAACAATGAGTAATTCCTTCCTACTGCTCTGTAGTGGCCTAGAAAAGGCCAGCATCATCTCCACTGTAGCAAGAAGGCTTCTCCCAGGGCATAAAATTTTAATTAGGAACAATCACGCAGCCTTGAAATGGGAATTGTGAGCAGCAAAAAAGTCAAACCATCAATAAAATATTCAATGGCAGAAATGTATTATTGACACAGCCTTTAGAGCAGATAAAAGCGGAAAGGCGGGGAATCCAGAGCGGGTATCGAGCCTCGCTCGGTTAAATAACGCGTGGGGACCTGCACGCTCGCCGTGCCATCGCACACTCCCCGTGCTGGGAGGAATATAGGTCACCCGCGGGTGGGGAATTTCCTAAGGTAATAAATGAGTTTGATTAACGCCTCTCCCCCCGCCATGGTGTGCACCATGGTGCGGGGAGAGCCGTTAATCAAAGTTATTTAATACCTTAGAAATTCAGCACGGCCTTTGCAGCAGCTGGGTGGTGGCTTATAGGATGCAAAATGAAAAAAAATAATCTGCAAAATGCCACAGCCTTGAGCTGAAAAACCAGAGTTAGCCCCCGGCCACGGTGCTCTCCCTTAACCCCATGCCTGGTTCTCAAACCTCAGTAAAGGACACAGTGTCCCCCATCCCACACAGCAGTTCCAAATCCTACATCCCAGCCAAGGGGCATCAGTTGCAGAGCCAAAATCTGCCGTGATAAATGTCTTTTAAACCTTATTTCCACCCACCACCCCCCTCAAGAAAGACTGGTGCTGGTTTGGCTGGTCAGATCATGGCTGAAGAGAAATAACCAGCAAAAATAATAATCAAATCATAGATAAGCAGAAGCGCGGGACAAAAAACACCATGCAAAATCAGAGATTCAAATTAATTTTCTGCCCTGTTTTTCCTGGTGGGAGGTGCTGTAAGCAATGACCTTTTTCCTCTTTATTCCCATTTTTTTTGCAGGAGACAACACTAGAAATGTAGCCCCAAAACCAAAAGATCCAGTTTTATAGCCCACAGAGATCAATTTTTCAGGGCACATGGAGAACTTCACGTAACACCCCAAAATCTGGCCACGTCCAAGGCAAGCAGGTTTTCTGAACCTGCTTTTCAGGTGTTTTTCCCCCAAGCAACACTGAAATGCTCTTTATAACCTCCATCACCCTCCACTCCTTTTCCTAGTGAGGTAGGTTCTCATTTTAAAGGCAAGAGAGTCCAAAAAATGTGTGCGAGAAGCCCAAAAAGGAATCAGGAGAGAAACTCCTTGATGTGGCTGCATAAAGCAAATGTATTTTTAACTCATTTCATCTGAGATTTAAGGAGGGGACATCCCCCACTCCCCCCCAAAACCTGATGTAAAAAACCTGATATAAAGGCATCAGCTCTCCAGTCATACCCAGAGATGCAACTATACCAGCGCTCTCCCAACAAAGCAAACTTTAATCCTTCAGCATCGCTTGGCCAACCTGCTGAGCTGTGGTGGCACCTCGAAAATCGGTTTGAGAGGGGCATGTCCCCAGGACCAGAGCCCAGCAGTGCCTCAGAGAAGATGCTGATGGAGAGCAAGAGCCAATGCTTATCCAGGTGCAGACAGAGGGATTTCAAGGCAAATGGGAGGCCCCTTACCTGCTCCCATCTGCAGCTCAGCACCATCCCCTTCGCCTTCTGTCCTCAAATGCTCCGAGCTGCTGCTGTGCATTATTAAAATGCTGCCATGTTTCATCCCAGAGATGGCCACCCTCTCACCGGAGACAAGCTTCATCTGCTGGTTGTAAAGCACTTTGTGATTTAAAACAGAAAAAAAATATAAAATAAAAATAGAAAAGCATATGCATAAGATGCATTCGGTCATAAAATACTTACAGCTTTAATTTGGCAAATGGAAAGAGATGGCTTGGAAATGAAGAAAGCAGCCGTGGGGTACGCAAACCGCTTGGACATGCCCATCGGGCACTGGACTAGAAGCCAGCAGGGATGGCTTGCCCAGGGCCACAACACCATGCACACACTCACTTTGCTCAAGTACTTTCCCAAAAATTTATTGAAAATTGGAACCGCGGCACACAGTATTACATTCGTACGGGGAAAGCAGGGTTTTACGGCAAACACTGTGCCCGAGTCACATTTTTTGCTTACAACGCATTGAGATCAGACTCGGGGACTTCCTGGACAAACCCATCCCCTCCCCAAACTGCTTTGGTTTCACAATTAAAATACAAGGTGACCCACTAGGACAGATGAATAAAAACTGAGAGTAACTACTGGCCATCGATTAAAAAAAAAAAAAAAAAAAAAACAAAAAAAGAAAAGTGAAGTGTCACCAAGAGTATTTTGGTCCTGCCACCCACCCACACCACCACCAGGGAAGGGCTTATTCTGTGATTTTTTTATTTTAGAAACAAGTTGAAAAATTAAGTGGATTTAAGAAAAACAAAACCCCACTGTGTGTTCCCCATTCCCCTGAAGCCTGGTCCGTGACACTGTGAAAAGGGGGTTTCTACTACAGGTTTCTTATAACAATAAAAAGAAGAGGGGGGCAGAAATTTGTCTTAGAGCTGCTCTTGTGCCTCCCCTGCAGGCAGTGAAGAAGCTGTTTGTCATGGCCCCGCTTGCTGCAGGGAGATGCTGTAAAACTTGTTAACTTGCTCCATCCAGGTGAGCCTCCAGGCAGGGGTCCACCACAGCTTTGCTTCCCTACTCAAAGCAGCAAGGACTTTTCTCAATGCACGACAGGTCTTTTGAGGAGGCTACAGGGAACAGGAGCACCACTGTTTTCTGCTGAGTATAGAAAGCACTTTAAAAAAAAAAAATAATATAGAAGGGGGTCGCTTCCATCCGCAGGGGAAGAGGGTTGCTTTGTGTTGTTGGTCTCTGTTTTTATTTTACAGTCTGTAAAAATACTCCATCTGGCCGTCCACATCCATTCACAATATAAAGCAGTAAAAAATATATATATATTTATATATATAGAATATGGTTTATTTATACAGTTACACTTGCAAGGCAATTGATCCTCCGCTGGCCAGGCCCTTCTACCTCCAGATGCTCTGCCTGGTTGATACGACTGCAAGACAAAACAAAAACAACCTGAGCAACTCCATCACAGTGGGCAAGCACTTAGAGAAAGAAAAGGGGAACGGAAAACAGGGCATATGCAAGCCCAAAGCCTGGACTGGGAGATAGACATGCAGACACCATGGTGAGACAGACATTTTGGGCCAGGAGGGGAACTGCAGCAGGGTTTTGCTGAGGGGATGGTGATATGGGTGGGAATGGGATGCCAGGATGCAGGCAGCATCACCACAGTCGGCAGAGACATCACAGCTTGCTTTTCCAGCACCCGAAAATGTGGTGCAAGGTGGAAATAGGCTCATGGGAGGTAGAAAGGGTTTTGGGCTGAACTACCCCCAAGATGGAGCAGAAGTGACTCCTGTAAAAGATGGGAGCCAAATCCTCCCCATCTTAACGCTAGCAAGGTCTTAGCCCCAGGGGATGTGGGCAGGAAAAGGGGTCAAGGAGCATCCTCTGCAGCTCCTGGCAAGCAAAGAGCCAGACTGCCAGTGCGTGAGCCCCTGGCAGCAGAGCAGAGGCTGCCGGGGTGTAAGCTTTGCTCTTCCTAATGGCATCTATAAATAGCTCCGGCCTCTCGCTCCCAGCACTTGCTCGCTCTCTGCTGCCCGTTTTGGGCAGCAAAGTCCTCTCCCCGCTTCCCACGCGTCCTCCCCAGCCCAGCTCACGCTCCCGGGGACCCGCCGGGACATACGCACCCTCGGGGTTCAGGCTGGACACCAGGGGCTCTGGCAGGGTCCTGGGATGGCTGAGGAGCTGCTTGGTGCTCGTGCGGGGAGGCGAGTCGGTGCCGGTGGCGGGAGGAAAACCTACGGGATGTGGAAAAATGCCCAGCTCAGTCAGGGCTCGTGCCTCCCGTGCTCACCAGGCAGGGCTGCTGCAGTGCCACCGGGCAGCCACGTCACCCTCTCTGGGTGCTCTGGAGGCAAAGTGACCGGGTCCCTGCTTTCCCCTGCCCCCTTCCGCGAGAGGCCCCCACCGCCTCCTCTCACCCCTGCACGGATGGATGTGGATACAGCCCCAAGCACCGCGCTCGCCCTTCCCTCGCCAAACACAAAGAGGTCATCGGCGGCTGCAGCCTGTCCCCACCAGCCCACAGGCCCTGGGGGCTGATGCTGGCCCTCGGTCACCTGCTTTTTGCCGCCGCAGTGACATGCGGCAATGCTGCAAAGGAAAGCTCCCTGCGGCCGCCCCAGCCCCAGAAGCAGCAACATGGGATCCGACCCCCGAGCGTGGCTACAAGCAGCCCTGAGGCTTCAATGGGGAGGAGGAAGGAGCCCCAGGGCCGGCAAACCTCAGAGACCCCCCAGGGGTGGTGAGCAACTGCCGTGCCAACACCAAAACCCCGTCCCTGCTGCCTAACCTCAGCGCCCAGGGCGGAACCGGTCAGCTTTGGGGCCGACCCCCTTGGAGGGGGTGCTGACCCCCTTGGAGGGGGAGGCAGGGAGTGGGCAGGGGTCCCGCGGAGCAGCCCCCGCGGCCGAGCCGGCGGCGGCGTGCTGACCTCCGTTTCTCCGGCAGGCTGGCAGCTCGCGCGGGCTCGGCTCCGGCTGGGCATCCTCCTCGGGCCTGGCCTGCAGGACGGTCACCGTGGCCCCCGTCTGCTGAATAAACTGCTGCAAATTACACTGCCTCAGCTCCTTATTTAATTCCTCCAGCTCTTGGGTCTGGGCCTGCAAAACACACACCGGGGGGGACACACAGGGTGAGCTACATGTCCTCCCCATGCCCCAAACCAGCTGGCAGACCCCCGTCCTGGGGCTGCTCCCCCCACTGGGGCCGGCAGAGGGGACCTCAGGCGTAACGTGGCTCCACCACCCCTCTCCAAGGGGCTGCAGGAAGCAGGGTGCCTGGGCTGTGGGGACAAGGAAGGTGCTGTTTTGGGAACAGCCCTGCTTTGCTGTGTCTCCACAAGAGGGTGCGAGCAGCCGTCAAACGGCGGCCGCCACGGTGCCGGGAGACACCAGCCGCAAATGAGATGCTCAAGACAGGAGGCTGGAAGCACAGCTGCCCTGGGGAAGAGCAGCCACCACCGCCTGGCTGGGAAAAAGCTACTCCCTTTTGCTCCACTGAAGAGGACTCGTTTGGGCAGCAGGCAGGGGTCACACAGCACCTGGACAGATGAGCCAGGGGGCATCATGGCTCAACCCCACGGCTGCCATCTCCACACTGCACAGCCGCCATGCACAGCTTGCATGACTTTGTGCACAGGCACCGTGGGGACGTACACTATCCCCCTCCACACTCCTTTATCCAATGCCACCAACCCTGCACATGAACCATTTGCTTCAGCACCATTATCCATGTTGGAGCTGGGTGACGCTGTACTCCCCATGCACCAGCCAGCAGGAGCTCCAGCCCAGCCCCAGCTTGCACAGAGAGCAATGGGTGTGGGACTCTGTGTTGGCTGGGCAAGGGTGGTGGTGTGCCCAAAACAGCAGCCACAGCTGCTAAGCCATCTCCACGCACCCAGCCCCATGCTCACCAGCCAGGTGGGGCGGAACCAACTCAACCCATCGGCCCCATGCCACTGGAAAGCTGGTCCCATTCCCTCCCAAAGGTCCCACCACCCCATGGGGCTGCTCAACCTGGTCCTATCTACCTGCAGGTTCCTTTCAGCTTCCTCCAGGGCCTTCTCCACGCTGGCCAGGTTGCTCTCCAGCTGGGTGCCTTGCTTGACCTTGGCCTCCAGGTCTCTTTTCATCTTGGCAGCCATGTCCTCCAGATCTGTGGGGCTGGGCGCAGAGGTCTCCTTCCCCCTCTTGGCCCTCTCAGCCATCTCCCACTGGATCTCCTCCTGCAGGGCTTCAGTCCGGGCGCTCAGCTCGTAGATCCTCTGTGTGTACTCCTCCAGGCTGGCCCGCAGGCTCCTAACCCGCTCCTGCCGCTCCCGCTCACACTCCTTCTCCAGCTGGAGCTCGCTCTGCCAAAACTCCTCCTCACCCAGCTCTGTCTCATTCCTCCGCACCAGGTGCTCCAGGTAGAGGATCTCATCCTCCTGCCCGGTGAGCCGGCTGCGCTCCCAGAGCCGTAGGTCCGTCTCCAGGGTGTCCCCGTGGGCCTCTAAGGAATGCAGCTGCTCCTGCTGCCGCAGCACCCTCCTGAACAGCTCCTCTTTGGAGGCTTGGACAACCCCACCGCCCTCCAGGTCCATCCCTTCCCGTGCTTGGTGCCTCCAGCGGCTCACGGCAAAGAGGTCGCCAGAACCTGTAGGACCCAAGTTGAAAGTCATGGATTTTTTTGACTCCCGGGAATGGGGTACATCGGTGCCGGCGGGCCTGGGCTTGATGGGCAAGCTGGCCCGCATGAACGTCCTCTCGGGAGCTTGGGGAACACCCTCTGAGGAGGGCCGCTCGGCCACGCTGGGGCCTGTCCGCCGCAGGACAAACTGCACGTCGTTGGCATACTGCCCGCACTTGGCCAGCGACTCCAAGGGGCATTCCAGCGGCAGCAGCTGCCGCTCCTTCTCCCGCAGCTTCTGCACCAGCACGTAGCGGCCCGTCTGACCTGCGAGGAGAAGGTGAGCACGTCAGATGGGGAAAGCCATGGCCAGCAGTGGTGTGCCCAGGCAGCAGCTGGTGACACCCACACCACCCCAGAGCAGGAACCCCCATTCCCAGGAAGCACCTGCAAGTGGGGCATCAGCACAGCAGATGCCTTCACTCGCAAAGGGGCAGCCCCCCAGCAGATGGAGATGGCTCACCGATGGCCCGTGCCAAGGCGATGACCACTTCTTGGCAGGTGGTTTGCTCCGAGACGCCGCAGACGACCCTCTGGATCCCGTCCACCCAGACCTTCAGCTCCATCCCCACAGCTGCCAGGCCTCAGGTATGCTGGGTCATTGCAGGACGGGCTGCCTGCAGGGAAAGAGAAACCAGGTTTCCATCCCAAGCTGCTAGTGAGGAATACAAGCCACTTTAAGAGTGGCATCATTAAATCATCTTTAATGCCAGCATCTCGTAAGGTGCATCCTACACCAAGCAGTTGCTCACTGCTGCCCTCCATCCGTGTCTGCGGCTCTCCCTCTTTCCTTGAGCACAGATTGCCTTTTTGCTGATATTATTAAAACACCGATGATCATTTGTTAAAAACAAAACAAAACAAAAAACAACACCACCAATTTTTTTTTTTTTTTGGCTCATATCTGGGTAGCAGGTCCGAATCTTCTCGTGGTGGGAAATGATGGAGTTTGTGTGCCTGCATGGTGTCCTGAAAATGATGTCCAGGTTATTTCTGCTGCGAGTGCAGACTTTTAATGGGTTTGCTGGACTTTCACTGTGATTTCTCTGACAATTTGGCAGGGCAGCACCGAGGGATTTTCCAAGCAATATTGGAAAAGTCTGCCCACCCTCGCAATGGGATATTGAGAGAAGGTGCAGATAATGCACACTTTAATTTATTTACCTCCATCTCTGTTTATCAGAGAGGGATTAAGAAATCAAAGTAAATCATCTTTCTGCACAAAATGTGACCAAAGGTGGGGTTTGAGAGGGGGAGGCAGGTACGAATGTCCATGTCGAAGCCAGGGCTCCCAGGGGACCCTCTGCCCAACACCCGGGGCTCAGCCCAACTCCCACCTGGTGGCTACTTCTTCTGCATTAAAACAATTAGTCCAGGTGCACCCAACTCCTGCCTCTTCCAGCAGCTCAACAACTGCGACAGTCTTAAAAAAACCCCAAAATAAAGCAAAAGTTGTAAAGAACTCAAATATTTGAGCTTACAGTGTTTTCAAACATAGTGCAAACAAAGATAGATCTTTCCACCCCCACCCTATAGCACTTTTTTCTAGCACCAGGCTTCTCTGAGAGCCCTGGGCAGAGGAACATATATAGAAAATTTCCAGGCCCTCTGTCCAGAGGGTTCCAAACTGCTTTCCCAACTTAACCCAGCTGGTCGCAGCATCTCCATCCGTCAGCTCCAGCTCTCCCACGTTTGCAGCTGGGCTGCAAGAAAGCTTCAACTCAGGTTAAACACCACTTCTTGCTTATTTTTTGTTGCCTGCTTGAGTAATCAAAGGGAGGGCTCAAAGGGTCCCGCCTCCAGCAACACAGGATTTTAGCCATGGTGCAAGAAAGGCAAGGAGAAACCGGGGGAGGTAGGGCTTGGCGAGGCCATTCCCTGTGGGTGCCAGGTCCCGTTAGTGCCGCCCCCCTGCCCACCTCTGAAACGTGGGCACGGAGCAGCCGCCGCAAATACCTCGGCGCTGAGCTCATGTTTGCCTTGGCTGGGCAGCCAGGGAAAACCAGTGGGGGTGAAGGGCACCTTGGGCTCGGCCGACCTGCCTGTGAGCCCAAAACTACTAAAATTTGCAGGGTTTAGCCCCATCTCATTTCAAAACCAGGTTTTGGCACCGTTTCCCCCCTCCACCCCCCCACGTTGAGCATTCAAGGCTGTAACCAGCCCCAGCGCAGAGCAAAGTCCAGGCAGTGCTGTGGCACCACCCAGCTCACACCAAGGCCACCGTCCCGTCCCCCCACACCACAGCACCCCAAAATGCCAAATTGGGGGTGGCGACACATCTCGGGGAAGCATTGCCCCCCACCCCAGCCGGGGACCCGGCTAGCTTCAAACCCCATTTCCCCTCTCCCGACCCCATGGTAGGGGCGAGGAGCTTAAAATAAATAAGGAAAAAATAACCCAGCCAGTTGAGCTGTGTCGCACAACCTCACCTTGCTGCCCCAAAAGAATATCCAGCGGTTTCTGAAGGGTGCCGGGCTTGGGAGCGAGATGGCGGCCGGCACAGCAGTCCCAGGCACCTGTGTGGGTTCAAACCTGGCACCAAGCTCCAGCCCCGCCTCGGCCGGCCGCCCCGGCAATCATTTACCAGCAGCCGGCACACGGCACACCACCGCCAAAAAGCTGGGAGCGGTGGCGGCCAGCTTCTCTCCTGATACAGGGGAAACCACCCCCAAAAATCAGCCAGCATGTCCCTCCCTGCTGCATCCCCCCAGTACCCCAAAATCCAATCGCTTTTGATATGATTCTTGCAAGCACAGGGTGTCCCCATTAATCAATCGCTCGCCGTAACCCTTGGGGTTTTGGGGGTGGCCGTCCCCAGCTCTCTGCCAGATATGGGATGTTATCTGCCCCTGTTTGCCACCCTATTTGGGATGGTAAATAGGGCTGGGGGCTGCTCCCTCCTCTGCCTGCCCTCCTTGCCCCTTCGCCAGGGCGGGATCAGCTGCCCCAGCCTACCTAAAACCAGTCTGGCTGCCCCTCTTCCCCTAAAGCCCTGGGCTCACAGAGGAGCTGACAGGATGAAGGCAGCTCATCCCCATCTGGGGGGACCAGCAATGCTCCTCACTCCCCCCAGTCCCTGCTCGGAGGTGGAGGACATCACAGCCCACACACAGCATCACATCCCCAGTATCCCACCGTGCCAGCATCACCCTGGGTCAAAAAAATCCAAACCCCATCAGCCAATAAACCCCCAAACCTCCACCTTGTTCCCAGCATGACTTCCAATGTAGCCCCCTCCAGCTCTTTACCATCACCCCTAAAAAATCAGCAGCTGGGGCAGGGGGGCGGTCTCATTGCACCACTTGCAAATGTGATCCCCCTCTCCCCAAGCTTCACTGCTGCCCCCCTGCTTTAATTAGTGGGTGCCTTCCTTACACCACCAGGGAGCTAAGAAGGCGCTTTATTTAGGGAGGGGTGGGGGCAAGAAGCACTTTTCCTTCAGGAAGAAGCACTTCTGGGCAGGCGGCCGGTTTCCAGCTGCCTCTGTTTGTGTTCGCCTGAGGAGGTCACTTTGATCAGGAACCAGGAGCGCAGGCGGCTGCCAGCCCTGCCGCCTGCCCCAAAAACAGCCCAGGGAGGCGAGCAGGTGGCTGCGGGGACCGGGACGCGTGACGGCCGCTCCCAAAAGCCACTCTCACTTTATTCTTATTTCCCCCCCTCCACCATGGATTTCTAAGTCATTCTTCTTGGAAGCAGATTAACAAAGTGACTAATTTTCTGCTCCCTTCCCCATGCAATGGGTCCTAAAATTGAGGGTAGGGATGACTCATACCACAATTTCAACAAATTTTCTAACTGGGAGTTGGAATTTCAAACGCTGACATTAAAAAAAAAAATTATTATTTTTTTTTTTTTTTAAATTAACAAATCTCAGATCCTGCAGCTTTATTTTGTTTCCTGGCATTGCTGTCTCCCAGCCTCCCTGAAGCTGTTGGGCTAAAGGAGATGAAGTAGCATTTCTGCAAGTGCACGAGAATGCATGTTTTGCACAGCTCCTACAAACCATCATCCTGACAGCTGCTGGGACTCACGAGGGTCCAGTGATCTCCCTGGACCTGAAATAATACAAGGCCAGCCAAGAAATTGACCAGTCACCCACCTTACAGAAATAAGGACAGACACTGATTTACAGGGACCCCCAGAAACTGACACAACACCTTCCAGCCAAGAACTGCAAACACTTTGCAAGTGCCTTTCTCCCACATTTTGCCACACACAAGAAAACAAAAATATCCAATTAGGAAAACCACACCAATTTTGCACCCAACAGCAAGGCCAGTTTTAACCCAAATCCCACTGCATCCCAAATGCCTCCTAACGAGCACTATCTGGGTGCTGAGCATGAAGGTTTTGAGCTGAGCAGTCCACCAGGGCTGAGGTTTTACCCATTCCTGGGGGTTTGCTTGCCTCCCTCACTATGTCCTCTCCCTGGCAGAGCTGGGTATGGGGCTGGGCAGGCAGGAGAGCAGCAGCACAGGGAGAGCTTCCCAGCAAACCTAATTAAAACTGCAGAAAGCCAGAAGACTAGGCTTTCAGGTCAGGGTTCAGGCTGGGGCTAGAGGTATAAAGACTCATAATTAGTAAATAAAGATGCATTTGTACTCGAGAGCAGGCTGTGATGAGCCCACCATCCAAGGAGGACCAAGGTGTCCATAGGGACCAGAGACTCTGCATCCCTTTGGATGTGCTCCAGGTGGGTGCTGAGGTGCTCTCAGCCATTTTATTCCTGCTCTGAACCTGACCCTCTCACTCCTCTCCCGGGGGGAGGTACTCATCCCAGCTGTGAAAAAAATCCCAATACATGAGTAAACAGCAAGTGGGGAGGGAGGAGTGGCCCCATGCCGCCATCCTGCATGCCAGAGAGCTGGCAGGCTGGCCGTGACTCACCGCCCCAGATCAGCTGCTGCAGTGACGCATCCAGAAGCTATTTAATGCTTCCTGAGGTCCCTCCCTGCCCAAGGTATGGGGCACAGCTCCTGGACACCAAAGGGAAGAGATAGTACTTGCCCACGTGCTGAAACTCTCTGTTTGGGCAGAAGCCTCCCCGTTACTCAGGTGTGGAGAGGTGACCCAATATGGAGAAGATGCACAGGGAACCAAAGCCTCCTGATGGGAGCAGCCAGTTGGAGGGGATGGGCTGTGGTCCAGCCTCCCCTCTGGCCCATCAACAGTGTCCTCCTGCCTCGGGTCCCTCTTTTAGAGTAGCATCACCTGCCCTCAGCTGGGGTGTTGCAGGTATAGAGCAGGTCTGCTGGGCTTTCAACGCCATCTCCATCCACGCAGTGATGCCGCAGTCAAAGATTGAGGTTGTGGCCAAGGGTTGACGAGGCTGGCAGGTCCAGAGCTGCAAGATCAACCATGGCAAGGCTTGACAGTCTGGCTCTTTCTGGGCTGGCAGATCCCATGCTGGGTGGAGATGATCACCCACGGCTTTGAACGTGGGTTGTCCAGAAGACTCTGGCAAACACCAATGGTAGTTGTCTGTCCAGAAGACTCTGGCAAACACCAATGGTCACTACCACTGCACCAGGGAACACCAGGCACAGCCCTGCCTGCAGCCACATGGTGCAGGACCTTTCCATGGTGCCATGCCCATCCTGAGGATAATAGCTCCAGGATCCTGAAGGGACATCATCTCCTGGACTGGTGCCAAGCAGCCAAGAGGGCCATCTACCAAAGAGGTCATTGTCCCCTCCTGTGGCATGGGGGCCAGCACGATGCAGGCCAGACTCCAGCTCAGGACTACAGCCTGGGGCAGCAAACAGGTTACTTCATCCCGGCACAAAGAGCTGACAGGGTTAAACAAGCTCAAGAGGTGACAAACGAGTCCTACCAGAGTGGTCACAGCCCAGAGAGGCAGCTCTTCATCCTTCTGCAGTCACAGGGAGAGCGAGCAACCATTACTCACCCCTCAGGCCTATCAAAGCCACAAGCTCTTGCGCAAGGTGGCCACAAGCACCCAGGAGCAAGGAAGGAGGAGGCACACAGCTCTAATTCACACTCAAGTGGCTTATTTAGGGGTGTCCATAATAGTCCCCACATCCTTGGTCCACCCATCACGCCCTGTCCAGCTCCCTGCTCTGCCATGTCATGTCTGACAGCAAGCCCAAAGAAAGAAAAATCAGCAAATTAATGAAATCAGTAATTTCAAAACCGCACAAGGGCTTTGCAGACTCCACTTTTCTCTCCTCCTTCAGGTGGAGAAACCCCAGCGGGGGACAGGGATAACCACTGCAAACGTACCCTGAAGGTGCAGCTTTACCAGAGACATGCGGATGGATCCCAGCCCACGTGCATCCCTGGGCTCTGTTGTTCACTGACAGCAAGCAGCTTCTGCTGGGGGCATCTTATGATGCACTAACACACACCAGCATCTACGGAAGATACAGCCGTGTTTCAAGGAGTTTTTGCACCCAATGGAGATCAAAGGGGCAACACCAAGAAAAGTCCCATGGCACTTGCACAGCTCAAGAGCTAAAGCCTCACTTGAGCCTGAAGCCACAGGCCACTGCTGAAGTCCACCAGAACCCAAGGAGGACGTGGCCCACATATGAGGATCTTGCAGGAACTGCTCAAAGAGACAGATTTCTGGAGAGCCATTAGCACCATGACAGCAACCCCCCATTAAGAGCAAAATAGAGGCTTGGTGGATTTTATCCTCCACTTCCTCCCCAAAATTACAGACCCACACTAACATGCCTGGGGTGTACCACTGAGGCTGGCCGATACTGAGCAGGGTGGGAAGAACCAGGGACAAATTCCGCCCAGGGCTGAGATGAAGGATGGGGATGCGCCTCAGGGTGACAGCCTTCAGCAGGGATTTAGGGGAGGAAAGTTCACACCCTGGGTGATGCGGAAGAAGCTCATCCCATCTGTGCTCCACCTGCGGGGATTTCTCTCACTGTTTGTTTTTCACCCAAGCTTTTGAGTCTCCTACAGCATCACACCCATATGAAGGCTTCAGAAACAGCACCGGGAAGGAACTGGGGAACTTTTTCCCCCTTCTTAAACAAGCCAAGATTTGTCACCATTGCAGGCCAGTGTCAAGAGCTGTGTTGAACCATCAGGGATCACGGGCAGCGATGACATTTCAGGGATGTTTACTAGCCAGTCCACCCCACAGATAAGCGACTAACCAAAAGCTCATTATAAATTAAAAGAAGCAAACCCCCCCTCACCCCCGCCACCCACTGCACACGCTCATGTTACAGCATTTCAGCCTGGAAGGGGAAGGATCATCTTCCTCACCTTAATGCATCGTATTTCTCCCTTGAAGCACTAATGGCTACTGTCCACAGGGGGAGAAGAGCTGGCCAGGCTGGCTAGTAAAGTCTGACATAAAGATGAAGGTTTGCAAGGGAAACACGAGCAGTTATTGCTGTAACCATCCCCATCAAACCCCAGACACACAAGTGAGCGATGTCATGAAAGTAGCCGAGTAAATTTTAGTTTCTTCTCAAGGGGGCAAAGCAAAACTAGCAACAACACGTTGATTAGAGGGGAAAGTGGAAAGGCTCTTGCACTGCCACGCT